TAGAGGCACATCCTGTGTGTGTGGCCACTTAGTGGTCGGGATTTGGTTGGGGCGAAGCAGGTGCTGGGGTGTGGAGGTGCCAGTAGAGTGACTGTGTGAGTGTGGCTCTCAAGGGTCGATGGTTGTGTGAGTGTGGCCCTTAGGGGTCGATGGCTATGTGAGTGTGGCCCCTTAAGGTGTCGACGACAGTGTGAGTGTGGGACTTAAGGGTTGATATGTGTGGGAGCATCTATTGTTATGGTGAGATAGTGGATGCAGCACAGGTGTGCGTGGGTGGCCTTCAAGGCTCGTTATTTCCACCAAAATGTGTGTTGTAAATTGAGTGGTGTGAATGTTGGAAAAGGAGAGATATGGTTGAGTCTGATCATGTGTGTGGTGAAAGGTATAGCAACATGATGTTGATTTTGAAGAAACTTTTTCTCCAGTAGCTCGCTTTGAAATGGTAAGAATTGTCTTGGCATTGGCTGCACAATTACAATGGCCTGTTTATCAATTTGATGTTAAATCAACATTTTTGAATGGTGATTTATAAGAAGTTTATGTAACCCAACCACAAGGTTTCATAATTGAAGGTAAAGAGAAGAAAGTGTACAAGTTGAGGAAGGCATTATATGGCTTGAAGCAAACACCACGTGTATGGTATAGTAAAATTGATGGATATTTTCAACAATATGGGTTCTTGAGGAGTGAGAACGAACTTACTCTCTATTTGAAGAAGGAACGTAAAAATGATTTCATCATTATTTGTCGTTATGTTGATAATATCATTTATACAAGCTCCTCTAGTTCTCTTGCGACTAAATTTAAATCACATATGAGACATGAGTTTGAAATGTTAGATATGGTTTTGCTACATTATTTACTTGACCTTGAAGTTCAACAAGTTGAAGATGGAATTTTTATGTTCAAAGAAAATATGATAAGGATCTTCTTAAGAAATTTGGCATGATTAATTGCGAGTATTCAGCTACACCTATGAATGTCAATGAAAAATTGCAGTGTGAAGATGTGGGGAGAAATGGCTGATGCTAGAAGCTTTAGAAGCTTAGTTAGAGGATTAATTTATCTAACTCACACTTGACCAGATATTGCATGTTCTATTGATGTAATTTTTAAGTTTATGCAAAATCCATCAAAGTTTCATTTTGGAACAGCAAAGCGAGTCTTGCATTATATTGCTGGAACTGTGGATTATGGCATTATGTACTCAAAGGCTTATAATTTCAGTTCATGTGGGTTCATGGATAGTGATTGGGCTTGTTCATTGGATGATAGCCAATGTATTTTAGCAAATGTTTTTACTCTTGGGCGAGGAGTAACTACTTAGAGCTCCAAGAAGCAAGCCACAACAACACAGCTTCCTTAGAAGCTAAGTATATAACAGCCACTTCAGCAGCTTGTCAGGCCATTTGGTTGAGGAGAATGCTAGCAGAATTACAGCAAAAGCAATAAGGAGCAATGGATATATTCTGTGATAACAAAGCAACAATTTTCATGACAAAGAATCCATCTTTTCATAACAGAACAAAGCATATTGATATTTGATTCCATTTTGTTCATGATTGGGCCACTAAAGAGGAGATTATTTTGAAGTATTACAGAATAAATGAGCAATTGGCTGATATGCTAACTAAGGCATTATCTAAACAGAAGTTCATCCATTTTAGAAATCTTCTTGGTGTGTGCAATTTTGAATCAAGGGGGACTGTTGAAGATTGATTCAAGAATTAGTCAAAATATGCTGTATATATTTTTTAAATTTTATGCTAAATAATTTTTGCTAATATTTTTTTGATCTTATGCAGATTAGTTTTCCTTATTTTTCTGTTTTTGCTAATTTGTTGTTGGTGGTAAAATTTTGGAGATTATGGTGAGGACTTTTAGCACTTTCAGTTTGGTTGTAAGCCTAATAAAGGCATGTTTACTTTTGAAATAACATAGCAGAAAGTAGCAAAGGTTTTCTGTAATTTTTTGTGTCCTTTATCTGCAGAAACTTTCTTCCTTAAACTATTTTTCTCAAATTGTTCCAACAATCTCCTCTCTTCCTTTTGCCTATGAAAAAATCAGATATAAACAGAGAGGTGAGGAGCCAGCGGGTAAAGCAAAAAATATTGCAGATTCGGTGGGGAGAGAAAAACTTCCAAAAGGCAGCAACTAGCTGGTGAAGCAAATCTGATTGCAGAGCTGAAGGAGAGAACGGAGTACCAGAGCAAGCTGATTGGAAAGGAAAACCTGAAGTGGAGAAGAGGAAAGCGCTGATGTAGAAGCAGATTTGAAATGACTTCAAACGCAGAAGCAGAGACGGGAGAAAAGCTGAGAAAAAAAAGGGAATTAATGAAGCAATATATTTATTTAATTGTCATATAGCATATTCTTGGGGTATAAATTTTCAGGATTTTTTTATGATAAAATTCAAATGCTAGTGTTTGAAATTTCTTGTAAATTTATTCTTGATTATTACATAATTATATTTTTCTTAAAAATAATTGTTGTCGCTCAATCCACTATGTCTGGCTAAATTTCTCGTTAGAGTAATTGACTTAGCTTGAATTAAAGGTAAATTTGCGGTTTAATTTTATAGTTTATTGTTGTAATTTAGTAGTATTGAACTTAATTCAGTTGTAAAAATTGACTAACTCATAGTTTTATTTGTGATTGATGGTTTTAGAGTAACAAAAATAAAATTTCATTTATTAGATATATACTATTAAGAGTTAGCAGAGTTTTAAACGAGATTAATATAGTCGAATTAATATACATTAATAGAATTATCATATATTTAATTGAATCAAATTAACAATTGTTATAAAAAGTTAGCACTTATTAATTGATAGACCTAAGGAATACTGGGAAGGAAACAGAATGTACATTGGGATAGTTTAACTATTTTATATTAGATTAAATCAATTGCAAAATTAAAACTCGAATATATTCAAGATTTAAGGGAAATCAATTACTCTAATGTGTTTTTGTTGATAGTTTTTATAAATTTAATAATTTTTCTTCGATTAAGTTGTTTTAATGTTTATAAAAATTTTATTTCAATTTCTAAATAATAGTATAATTTTCTACAATTTTGATACTTGATAGGCAATCCATATGGGATGATACTCTACTTATCATTTTATTACTTAAACAATTTCATGCATTTGCGAATTGACCCATTAATAGAGGACATGGTCGTGGCTATCGTCAAATGTCTAAAAGAAATGACACTCAAGATGATCCCAAAAATAAAGAGAGAAGCCAATAATTAAATAGAGGTCTTGGAAGAGGAAGAGGAAAAGAGAACTATAGAAATTATAACAAATCTAATGTTGAATATTACAACTGTCACACATATGGACATTATGTTTGGGAATGTCATAATGCTTCAAATGACAAGGAGGAGCAAGCTCATTTTGTCAACGATAGGCAATGATAGACAATAGTTTTGAGATTCAAGACAAAAGAAAAAAGTTACAAGAATCTCAACCCCAACACGAAAGGAAAAAGCCTCGTAATCCCTAACATTAAAGATATCAACACAAGATAACAAAATGCAAACAATTATATTCTGTGAAGTTGCTTCCTTAAATAAATATAGGGCACTAAGAGGACGATGTCCATGTAGAAAAGAAGCTACGCAATAAAATATCTATTAGACTGTATATATAAAATAAATGGCGATAAGTTTGAAACCATAAATCCTTAATCCTATAGAAAAAGGAAGAGAGGCCATTAAAGTCTCTTCTATTCCTCATGCCAAATGACCAAGAAATTTGACCCATTCCCAAACCTCTATAAATACTTGACCCCAATTTTCCTACTTACTCTAGTTCACCTTTATTTATTTTCCACCATTAAACCTTTCACCTATCTCCTAGATTCTATTTTTTCTCAACCACATCTTGGAACTACTAGATTATTTGCCTAACAAAAATTCAACCTTGGAAAGGAATAGACTAAAAAATGTTTAAAGAAAAAACTAATTAGCTTCTCTAAACCATGCCAAAAGCGATGTATGTAGATAAAAATTGAAATAATTACAAAGATAAAGTGACACTTGAGTCTTCAAAGGGAGCAATGATAGATCTTTCAAATTCCTGTGAACAAACGATTTCACAATGTATTTTTCTTATTGTCTGTAATATAGAAATATTAATTTGATAAATAGAGTGTACAAAGAAGGACATAATTTTCATAATCCAATAAAGCAAAGGTGAGATTGGGGGTAGGGGGTTTAGGATGTCTGAGCAGTTTAATAGTTCATGTATATAATACTATGTTTCTCTACCACAAAGGATTGGCAAGTGTTAAAGGTAATATAGAGCAAAGGATAAGTAGAGAGATAAAACACACCATATTTTCTGGAAGAGACATTGTCACAGCTTTTCCTATATCTGATACAACCAAAAGTTTATCAGGAAGAGGCTTTTCATCAAACACATCCCTTCCTTTTGTTGTATCTTCAGGTTCTTTTGGTTCTCTCTAACTACATGAAATAACAGTACAAAATTAAACAAATTGATTTACCAAAAAATAATGTCAAAAATTTCAAAGGCAAGAGACATGTCAATCAATGTGTAAACATGTATTAAATGAAACAACTTAACTACCACACTTAAGAAACATCTTCGATCAACAATCCGACAATATTACACGCCTTTATTGCAATTTAGACAAAATAGTAACTACGCATCATGATTTCCACTAACATTTAACGATCAATAAGGACACTCACAAGAACTACCCAGATCAAGCAATACATTTATTGGCGATGGCATTCAAGCAGTCTCGTACCTGAATAAATCTATCCTGTGCTGTTTGAAGGCACAACATAAGAGAGTGGGATCTATTATACGCTCTTTGCTTTTGTTAACATTTATTACTGCATAAGGAATTTGTATGACTTTCTTGTTACTTCGATCACCTTGATATATGGCATTCTAAAAAACCTGTTGTTGCTCTCTACCTTCCTAAGAATTTGAGCAACTTTGTTGGTGTGTAAATTTAGTATTTATAAAAAATAATAACGAGACAAGATAAAGAGTAAAGAAATCAAGAACAACATTTAGGGAGAAATATAGACACAAGTTAAGGCATATAACAAGTATTTTACGACTTGGGGTAAACACATCTTACTTTTATTCCAAGAAGTGTTGCATATATAAGGAAATTAGAACTTTCATAAAAAAGGGCATTAGCTTATGGGCTAGTCTCTGTTTTTTTAATTTCCTTTTTAACAAAATTTCTTCATCCAAAATCAATAGCTTCCAACCGAAACATGCAAAAATCATTTCTTTGGAGATCTAGGGCTACTGATATGCGCAAGAGTCAATCCTCCCTCATGATCAAAAAAGGAAGAATATCATAAATTGGAGGCCAAAGTTATTAACATTACTTTAAGTAACTCATCATAAATTCGTCCTAGTTTACCCGTTTTGAACCAAAATACACAAATGCTTCAATAAGACGATACGATAGAAAATTGCTTACCATCCGATCTAACCTAGAACGAAACATATTAGGTTTCACATTTTAACATTTAGGCAGCATTTGGTGAAATGAAAGAACTTAACAAGATGGAACTAAATAGCACAATATAAGATGAGAAAAAATTTAAGGTGTTTATCATGTAGGAGCCTAATATGAATAGTACAAAATAATATCTATAATTACTAAAAGTATCCTCTGTATCATTTTTATATCTACTCTTACACAAAATTTTGATGTATATTCTACAAAAATATAACTTAATTTTGGAATTATAGAAAACATGAATAATTTTATTTACATTTTATATAGACTTGAAAAACATAATTGAGCAAAAGTTAAGGTAACAAACGATTAAAATCAGCAGGTAAAACAAAAAAAGGTTGGCAAAATGACCAACTTACACCAGAAAAACACATCACTCCTTTCTCTTTCTCCCTTTTCTCTTTTGTAAGCTTCCTCCCCATTTCATAAATCTTCTAAGTCACCTTTCTCTTTCTTGATATGACAATTAGTTGAACTGTTTAGAGATGTGATGTACCCTAAGGATTGTAGTGGCCAACTATAAAAAATAAACATTATTCTGACTGAGTAAAAGAGCACGTGCAGAATTGATCAAGCCAAAAACATAAACATGCAGAAGAAGAAAAAAAACGTGAAGAAAATGGAACCAAGTAGATCACCTAGCCGTTAACCAGAATTAGTCAAACTTTATCTTTTAAGTTTATCCTCTTTATTTTTTATTTCAGAATTTATTTCCCAGTTAGTCGGTAATTTCAGTTGAAACTTTATGTATTTAAGCATCACTTTGTAGTAAAAAAGTCATCTGAAAATTTACAAATAATCCTATGGTCTCTTCTCACCCAAACGAGAAAACTCTATCAAAAATCAAAAGGCTTCTGATTGGGACCTATTAAGATACTTTTATGTTTCTTATATCACTAATGCTTTAAGGTGAGGACTATAAATGATCCTCTACTATATAGAAAGTTGTTCATCTTAGGTTCTGAATGTAGTGTCTGCCTATATTTGAAGCAAACTTTTTGACCACATTCAGGTTTGTAGACTTTACGGTGTTAACGAGCTCATATTATGTTGAGATTGATGGAATTTGGTGTAGTACTAGAGGATCCCATCTTAAGAGTAGATCTATGATTTCAACTTGGGATAACTTTTTTTTAAACATCTAATATTTGAAGTCATATTTATGCTTTTCCTAATTATTTGTACAACTTAAACATCTAATATTTGAAGTCATATTTTTGCTTTTAATAATTATTTGTACAACTAGAAAAAGTATTGCTTCACTATCCTTATTATTTGGTGGCTTGAGGCTTGAAGCAACTCATTTCACTTAGGATGTTTATTACTCATTTTATTGGAAAAAAATAGATGTAGATCTGAGATGATAAGATAGCTTTATTTTAGTGGACTGACTTGAGTTTTGTCTCATCTCTAGGAAACTAGGTCTGGTTTCTAAGCTTGTATAAGCATATTTATTATGCCAGTTTATTGTTGGAAGTCTAAGCTCGTGTGAAAATATTGTAAGAATGGTAGCGAATGTTCTATGTTAAAATGAAAGAAGAGGAAAATTAAACGGTTAAAATTGGTATTCACATCGAAATTGATACTAGGTTAAAATTTGTATTCACATCAAAATTGATACTAGGTTTAAATGAGTATTCATGTAAATAACTAAGGGTAAAATGACTATCTCATGTTAATATTAGCAAAGTTTATTTTTTTAATGATCAAATCTAGTTCAGTTAT